TTTTTGTACTCATATTTTTATGAAAACACACACATACACTCTCCCTCAATTTTTTATTGAAGTGATATCAAACTATACTTGCTATATCTGAATTTTTCATGTAACAGTATATGATAGACATCCTTGCAAATCTGTATGGTTCTGCATATATAATTTAAAGAATATGTCATGATTTATTTAGGCTATTCTTCATTATTCCCCATAAAAAATCATTTCCAATTTTTCACTATTCTAATTATAGCAAAAATGAATTTTACTCCACAGAGTTAAACATGTAGTAAATGTCACATTACATTACATTATTGCCTTTAATTCAAATCAAATCTTATCCCAAGTCTCCATCCCAGCAGTGGTAGAAAATCCAAACAACCACAGAGGCCAAATTGTTTTCAGTACCATTTGAAGCCTCAGGGTCTGTGACCATGGTGAAGAGTCCCTTGCCCACTAAAAAGCATCTTAAATAAATGAATAAATAAAAGTTCAAAACTAAAGGCCAAAGTGCTCAGGTGACTTCTTTGCTTACAAATTCATGAAGAGATAGTGCTGGGGGAGTCGGGGGAAGACCTCTGAGAATGAGGTGGAAGAGAAAGATTTCCCAAAGGTCAAGAAAGGGAACAGATCTGTGGAGGCTTTAGATCATGGTACATGGTGGTGGCAGGTCTTGGTGGGAGGCAAGGAGAGGCCACTTGGCTACAGCACAGAGTCTTACAGTTGGTGACCACAAGGCCTTGGGGAGTGCTGGTAACCAGCAAGCCTTGAAGACCCAGGGGGCCTGCTTTTATTTTGCTCTGTTTCTTTTGACACTTGGGACTGGCATGAAACTCCACAGGAGAGCCTCAATAATGACTTGAGATGAACTCGCCTGTCACACTGGCAGGATGTGAAGGAGTCCACGTGGTATGACCAAAGGATACCAACCCACATACATTTTTCTCACAAGCCTGTCATATAAATGCTTCTGTAGAGGTTAACTCCTGTTGATGAAGGAACTACATGTATAGAAATACTTGGTAAAATACAACTGCCCCAAAACATACAGGTAACTTGTCAAACCATTCTTAGATATCAAAACCCTAGTGCCAAAGGCAGTTGACTGCTAACCAGAAGGCTGGTGGTTCAAACCCACCAGCCACTCCTCAGAAGGAAGATGGGTCAACTACTTCCATAGTGATGCTGCCTTGGAAACCCAAGGAAGGGTTGCTGTGAGTCGGGTCTGACTTGACGGCACATAACAACAACAACAATGTGAATTAGTTTTTCACATTAGTTAGTCAACCTCAAAACATTCCAGGGAAATAAGACTTCACAGACGTGTCTGAATAGAGAGAAACAGGAGGTTTAGGGACAGTCAGTACTTTTTGGAAAGATCGTATCTTGGCCAAACTTCTTGGCAATGATGGGTGAGGAGAAATCATGAAAATAAGACCATATGTATAAATGAAAGAAAAATATAAAAGAACCAGCCAGCCAGCTATTAATGTTAACCTGTTCTCTATTTTTGCCCCACTCATGGTACCCTCTCCAAGACTTCATTCTAGACTTTTTCCTGTTCTAAGGCTGTGATAGTTCTGCCAGCTTCTTTCTTTAGCATCTTTCCTTCAACATGATCATGGACCCTGAGGCATCACATGTACCCGACCATCACAAT